AGCGGCCACTGCACTCCAGTCTGGGCAACAGAGTGAGACTCCAACTCAAAAAAAAAGTCCAAAGATGGAAAATAACCTTTGAGAGGCAAAGGTTTGTGAGGAACACCAGAGGTCGTGTGGTCTGCAGGCTGGGTGGACAGGGCTGCGTTTCCAGCCCCGGAGGAGGAGTACTGGAAGAGTAGAAGCTGATGGGAAAGATCTGAATGCTGGACCGAGAAGCTGGGACTCATCCTGCAAGAACGGGGAGAGCCATGGGAGGTCTTTGAGAAAAAACAGATAAATGATAGTGATGTGACTAAACATACAGGCTTTGGAGCTAGATAAAAATTTGTTTGACCAAATGCAGTGGCGCATACCTGTAACCCTAGCACTTTGGGAGGCAGAGGTGGGAGGATTGCTTGAACCCAGGAGTTTGACAAGACCAACCTGGGCAACATAGCAAAACCTCACTTCTAGAAAAAAAATTGAAAAGTTAGCTGGATGTGGTGGTATGTACCTGTAGTCCTAGCTATTCTGGCAGCTGACCCAGGAGATCCATTGAGCACAGGAGTTGGAGGTTGTGGTAAGCTATGGTCATGCCACAGTATTGCAGCCTGGAGAGTGAGACCCTGACTCAAAAAAATAAAAAAATGTTTGATTTTCAGCTATACTTCTTACTAGCTATATGATTTGGGGAAAATTACCTAAGTTCATTAAGCCCTAGTTTTCTCATCTGCAAGACAGGTATAGTCGTTTTTTGTTTTTTTTTTTTGAGTTGGAGTCTCACTCTGTCACCCACACTGGAGTGCAGTGGCTGCTCCTGGCCACTGCAGCCTTGACTTGCTGGACTCTGGCGATCCTTCCACCTCAGCCTTCCAAGTAGCTGGAACTACAGGCGCGCACTACCAGGCCGGCTCATTTTTTGATTTATTGTAGAGATGAGGTCTCGCCAAGTTGCCTAGGCGGGTCACGAACCCACGGGCTCAGGCAATCCACTCACCTCAGCCTCCCAAAGGCGCGGGATTACAGGCTGAGCCACTGAGCCCGGCTTAGTAGTGTTTTTTTATACAATTATTGTAAGGATTAATGGAAACTGTGTATGTAGTATGTGGCACATAATAAGTGTTTAATAAATGGCATTTACTGATTATAAGTTTCAGGAATTTGAAATAAAAATTTCTAAAATTTGAGTGAATCATTCTTATGTTTAAATAGTTTGAACTGGCTAATATAATAATGTAATAGTAATAACCTGATGATTTCCCATCTTTGAGTGTAGGTTCAAACAATGAAATTTGTTTTTAAAAATTTAACCCGATATAGTAAAGTTCAAAGGCTAGAACCTAGGCTTATAAAATTCTTTTTTGTTGCTATGTGCTGGTAGCATAAAAATTCTATAGAGTATAGAGGCACAGAAAGCAGAAAAAATAATACTGCAATGTTACTACTGTGCCAACACCAGCTGCTTATGTTGCAGTAAATATAATGGCAATAATTTTTTTTTTTTTTTTTTTTGAGTTGGAGTCTCACTGTCGC